CATTCTTCAAAGCTTTATTCTTAAAATATCTTTCTTTAACCACATTCTATCTTTAAAATGAACAGTTTCTGATACCCAACCATGATGTTTGCAATTAATTTAGATATGAGGAAATCTTTCTGTTAAAGTATGAAAAGTCAAAGTTATATTAGAAGCAGTTGAAAATAAGATATTTCAGAATATCTTAACCAAAGCGCATACAATTGTGAACTAGGTAGAATCCATTAGACTGTTCTTTATTTCAGGGTTGGGTTTTTTGTTTTTTTTTATGTTTCATCTATAATCCAGGGTTTCCCAAATATAATAAATATGTACAGAAAATATCTGATTTATCAGGTTTTGTCATTTTAAAAAACATCCTGATTCAGGCATTCAGTCCTGACCTTGGGACACGATGAAAAGTCGAGTGGAGGCCAGCAGAATAAATGAAGAGTTCATACTTTAATCGGGACTGAGCACTGAGGTGGAGCTGATATTGTCCAGAGCAGGGGTCCTGTCTTGTTTATCTTTAACATCTAGCACTGGGCCTAGCACATTGTGAGTGCTTGCTAAACTGAGGATCATTCAGTTTAACCCTATAAGGGGGTTCCATTGCTTATTCCATAGCAATAAATCATATAACTGTTCTCTGATAGGATTAAATTCTGGTGTGAACAGAAAGTTCCCCAAATAAGATATGCAAGGAGAACAGACTTTAATTTCATAAAAGAAAGAACAATTCTGGAAGGTCTTATGTGAATCATGTGGGGGAAAAACAAGCTACCTTTTTTGGGGGGAGTGTAGAAACCTTATATCTTTCAGCCTCCCTCATTTATAATGTTATTGTTTTAAATATTTCTTCTACCTATATTTAGAACCAAATCAGATTCCACCCCTCTCCAAAAAAAAAAAAAAAAGCACTGAGTAACTGAAGAATATATACCATGCTCATAATTAGACTTAACATTATTAAGATATTAATCATTTTCAATCTAACTAATGAATTCACTGCAATTCCAATTATTGTTCCAGCAGGAATTTTTAAAGAATTTCCAAAATCTAAAAACCTAAATAATTTTGGGGAAAAAAGAGCAAGTATGGACAAATGCCCTGAACTAGTTGTATCAGTTAATTGTATGTGTTAATTTGGCCAGGCTATGGTGCCCTGTTTGATCAAACACTAGTCTGGATATTGCTGTAAAGGTATTTTGTAGATGTGATTGACATCTAACATCAGTTGACTTCAAGTAAAGGAGATTATCTGTATAATGTGTCTGGGTCACATCCAATTAGTTGAAGGCTTTAAGAGCAACAGTGAGGTTTTCTGAAGAAGACAGAGTTCTTCAAAATTTTTGTTTTCCAAGCTACTCTTAACTACCAGAGGATAGAGAGTAACTACTGGGAGTTTGGTTTGGAGGAAGGTGAGGGTTAAACAGGTATAGATGAAGGAACTTAGTGGAAGAAAGTGCATACACAAAGAAAGATGGGAAATTATCTTGCAGATTCTACCTATCATATACAGGCATGTCTCATTTTCTTGGGCTTCTCGGCTATTGTATTTTTTACAAATTGAAGATTTTGGTAACCCTGCATTTAACAAGCTTATCAGTACCATTTGTACAACAGCATTTGCTAATTTCATGTCTCTGTGTCACATTTTAGTAATTCTCTCAATCTTTCAAACTTTTTCATTATTATTATATTGTTATGGTGATCTGGGATCAGTGTTCTTTCATCTTACCACAGTAATTGTTTTGGGCATCACTGACCATGCCAATGTAAGATGGCAAACTTAATAAATGTTGTGTGTATTCTGACTGCTCATGCATCTCTGTCCCTTTCCATGGGCTTCCCTATTCCCTAAGATACAACCATATTGAAATTAGGCCAATTAATAACCCTACAATGGCCCCTAAATGTTGAAGTTGAAGAGTCGCATATTTCCCATTTAAAATCAAAAGCTAGAAAAAGCTAGAAATGATTAAACTTAGTGAGGAAGATATGTTGAAAGCTGAGATAGGTCAAAAGCTAGCTTTCTTGTACCAGTTAGCCAAGTTGTGAATGCAAAGGAAAAGTTCTTGAAGGAAATTAAAAGTGCTACTCCAGTGAACACACAAATAATGAGAGAACTATAGAGTCTTATTGATGATATGGAGAAAGCTTCAGGATGGGTTAGCCCGGTGATAGGTACTAAGGAGGGCATGTATTGCATGGAGCACTGGGTGTTATACACAAACAATGAATCATGGAACCCTACATAAAAATAAATAATTAATTTTAAAAATAAAAATAAAGAAAGAAAGAAAGAAGATCAAACCAGCCATAACATTCCCTTAAGCCAAAGCCTAATCCAGAGCATGGCCCTGACTCTCTTCAATTCTCTGAAGGCTGAGAGAGGTGAGGAAGCTGAATAAGAAGTTTGAAGCTAGCTCAGGTTTGTTCATGAGGTTTAAGGAAAGAAGCCATCTCTATAACATAAAAGTGCAAGGTGAAGTAGCAAGTGCTGATGTAGAAGCTGCAGCAAATTATTCAGAAGATCGTCCTAAGATCATTAATGAAGGTGGCCACACTAAACAACAGATTTTCAATGTAGACAAAACAGCCTCCTACAGGAAGAAGATGTCCTCTAGGACTTGCGTAGCTAGAGAGGAAAAGTCAATGCCTTTTCAAAGCTTCAAAGGACAGGCTGACTCTCTTGTCAGGGGCTAATGCAGCTGGTGACTTCAAGTTGAAGCCAGTGTTCATTTACCATTTTAAAAATCCTAGAGCCCTAAGGATTATGCTAAATCTACTCTTCCTGTGATCTATAAAACAGAACAACAAAGATTGGAGGATGGCACATCGGTTTACAACATGGCTTATTGAATATTTTAAGACCACTGTCAGGAACTACTGCTCAGAAAAAAAGTGATTCCTTTCAAAAGATTACTGCTCGTTGAAGATGCACCCGGTCACCCAAGAGGTCTGATGTACAATGAGATTGTACAATGAGATTAATGTACAATGAAATTAATGTTGATTAATGTTGTTCTCATGCCTGCTTAGACAGCATCCATTCTGCAGTCCATGAATGAAGGAGTAGTTTCAACTTTCAAGTCTTATTATTTAAGAAACACATTTTCTAAGGTTAAAACTGCCATAGATAGTGATTCCTCTGATGGATCTAGACAAAATAAACTGAAAACCTTCTGGAAAGGATTCACCATTTTAGATGCCATTAAAAACATACATGATTCATGGGAAAAGATCAAAATATCAACATTCACAGGAGTTTGGGAGAAGCTGATTCCAACCCTCAAGGCTGACTTTGAGGGGTTCAAGATTTCAGTGAAGGAAATAACTGAAGATGTGGTAGATATAGCAAGAGAACTAGAATTAGAAGGAGAGACTGAGGATGTGACTGAATTGCTGTAATCCCATGATAAAACTTTAACAGATGAACAGTTGCTATTTGTGGGTGAGCAAAGATAGTGGTTTGAAATGGAATCTATTCTTTGGAAAGATACTGTGAAGATTGTTGAAATGACAACAAAGGATTTAGAATACTCCATAAACTTAGTTGATAAAGCAGCAGCAAGTTTTGAGAAGACGGACCAATTTTGAAAGTTCTACTGTGGTACAATGCTATCAAACAGCATCTCACGAAAGGTGTCAGTGGATGCAGCACTTCATTATTGACTTATTTTAAGAAATAGCCACACCCACCCCAACCTTCAGCTACCACCACCCTGATTAGTCAGCAACCATCAACATCAAGGCAAGACCCTCCACCAGCAAAACATTACAACTCACTCAAAGCTCCAGATGATGGTTAGCATATTTTAGCAGTATTTTTTAAATTAAGGTATATGTGTTGTTCTTTAAACATAATGCTATTGTACTATACTATTTACATAACTTTTATATGTACTGGGAAACAAAAAAATTCATTCGACTGGCTTTATTAATTATGATATCACTTTACTGAGATGATCTAGAACCAAACCCTCAATATATCTGAGGTCTGCCTGCACTTTAACCTAAGGTTTTGGGACCACCATCCATTCACACTAGGGGTGACTAGATACCAGCCACCAATTGGAAAGGGAAGCAGAGTGGTTAAGAGCATGAGCTCTGGAGTCTGGATTCCCAGGATTCAGTTCTTGATACCTCCACTTGAATTGCTATCTGATTTGGGCACATTACTTAGAAGCTCTGTGCCTTGATTTTGGAGTTTCTTATAGGCAAGCAACAATAAACAACAACAATAATAATAGTTCCTGAGGCTTTGGGGAAGGTTAAATGAGTTTATACATGACTAATTAATAATGTACACGGCAGAAAGCAAATCCTCAAAGAAATCAGCTAAATAATCTCAATAGGGCAAGCCACCCTTTGAAAAGGAGTTCTCCTGTATTAGTGCAGTGTGGAAAAATTCATCCACTGCTAACTTTGGGAGGGAGAACTGCAGCTGGGAAGGCAGACTCTCCTGTTTGAGGCAAAAATAAAATTTATTTGTCCCTCAGGAATATGAAGATACATGCACTCATCTAATAATGTCAAGGACCAGAGGATTAAGCTGACAATAAATATATATATTTACCCAAATAAACCTGACAAGTTCAAAGATATTTTAGTTAGTGAACTGGGAAATTAAACTCCCAGTTAACTAACTAAAATATCTAATAAAATTTAAAATGTAGCAGCGTCCTCACTACATATGACATGGATGCCGTCTGAAGTGTACTCCATTCTAGGCAGTTGTTTCAAACAGGGAAAGTTTTATTGAAAATAACTTTTTGAAGAAGACATATGTAGACTGATTAATAAAATATTTAAACATGTTAGTCTAATATTAGGTTTCCATTATTTAAGTAAAAGTAAGTCTGCTCTTTTGCCTCACATTTGAAAACAACTACAGAGTTAGGCAAAAAAGCACGTACACACACACACACACATTTTGTTTGACGACATGCTTTTTGCATAGTTTTAATCCTCCTTATTTTCAGTTATAACATGCTTTATTCTTCTCCAGTACTTACCAAAGTTCCGATTTTCCCTTCAAATTATCCTTGGAAAGAAGGCAAAATTGAAGTTTATGCCCAAAATATCTAAACAACAATTGGTATCATGTTAATGAAGATGGATTCGATTAATACTCATTTGCAGAATTTATGAAATTGATACTTGGATATTAGACAAATTTATCTTAGTTTGATTGCTAAAACCAAGCCTGTGTGCTCATGAATATGCTAATGAACCTCCATGTGACTAAGCTGTGAGGAGAGGGGCACTCTTATAAACCAGATAGTTGCCATTTACTGTATCACTGTTATATAATATACCAAATGACATGCTCAGGAGTCACTGTGGTTTTATAAGAAACACAGCTGAGCTCAGGTTAACCTAAACACGAATAGAAAAATAATGACAGATTTATACAAAAGTTTATGCCATATTAACATTTTCTAATTAAAAAATACATTCCATGTTAAGGGGAATAAGATTTCTCTGAAAATTGGGCTCCATCCAACAAACTCAATAAAGTATAGAGCTATGGCCTTAATACTATAGGGGTAGGTTGGTTATTTATTTATTATTTATTTATTTATTTATTTATTTATTTATATTTATGTTGGGTTGAGCTGAGTTGAGATTTTTGACCTTTTAGTTGGTAGTAAGGTAAAAAACATACATTTAATTCAAAGCACAAAGGAATAAAAAGATAAAACTTGTTTTACATTTAAAAAATAAATTCACTATTTTGATCACTTTTGCAAACGATAATATATTAGTGTGTTAGTTTTGTAGAATACCAACTCTTTTAAGTAAACAAACTAAAGGAAAAAAGGAAGAAACATGTTCTAGGAAAATATTTGCAATTATCATCTGATAATTAATACTAGTAATCTCATAAACATACACTCTAACTCAGTTCACAGCCAGTGATTCTCTTTTATTTTTAAATAATAATAAGACTTTTATTTTGTTGTTAAAAATTAAATTCTTCATTTTTTTGTAAAATAAGTTATTAAATTAAAAACTAATTTGCTTTCAAGATTACACAAATGCAAAAATTATTGATTTAATACACAATAAAATTATAATACTAATTAGACATGAAAAAATAATGATCTAGATTTATTGAGGACTTTTCTGTTTAAATTGAAATGGCAATATAATGTATAAAAATATATTTCCTATTATTTAAATGGTTTGCTTACTTAATTTATCTAATTATATGTTCTTTTATCCTAAATAACACTAGCTCAATATTTACATTCCAAATTTTACAATTAAAGGTATTCCACCTATTACTGCTTCAATTTTATACTAATTAAGACTCTATATCTTCAAAATTATAAGCCAAATTATAGGTAGGTAAACCAAAATTAAGATGTGAAAACTATCTGGATCCTTTGAGTTGTGTAACTGCTATTGATGAAGGAATTTGGGCAGGAATTCCTATGGGAATTCTATGGGAATAAATGGGAAAATGATTGAAATATCTGGTTAGTATGTAGCTCTGATCTTCTGTTTCTTGTAAATTTTTATTTTCCTTCTAATTTCATCAAAACATTTTCTTATATTAAATGAGAGGATTTCTTGAAATAATGTAAGAGTGCTGCATGGTAGAAGTACTTTGGTAATAAAAGAGAGCTTTCCTAAGAAATTATAAATGTTTATAGTTCATGCATGGACTTCAAACCCAGATACAGACGAATGTCTTAAATAGTTACGTACTGACTTTTCATCTTATGAAAAGGACTCAGAGGTGGTACACATTTGACACTGAGTGTCTTTCATTAACACCATTGCAATGACACAGCTTATATTTTGGGGTTAATGCCATCTCTGAATCCTAAGCAAAGATAAGATAGAGAATAAAGCCAATGATTTCAAATAATGTCCTTTGAATATATTTGTTTTTTGAAAAGTTGATACCATAATCCTGATATCTCTAAAATAAGAATTATTTTTCAAGCTGTGTAGATAGTCATACAACAGAGTATAAAATCAGTTTTGTTTTGTGAATGTATATTTTGATCCTTTAAAAAATGTTTTGTTAATTTTTGTATAAATATCTCTAAGACAATTCTTAAAAATTAAGTTACTATCAAATTTTAACCATGGGGCTAAAAATTGAAAGCAAATAGTGTTATAATGGTCACAAAAATGATGTAAGTTAAAAATATGTAATAATACTATTAACTGAAGTTTGATTAGTTTTATGTGTTATCAAAGAATTTATCCACATTAACATAAAGCATATAAGGTCATCTTACTTTGTCTTAATATTATTTTGAATTTCTTACTGAAATAAATTCGTTATGAATAAAATAATGGTAAAATACATACAGTGAATGTGAAGGTTCTCCTAAATATGCTAGCATTTTGGTTCCGTTTAAACTTATGCTAGGCATCACCAGTGAGTAAAGTATATACACCTTCGTCACTCATTTAACACAATTTTTAAAATTACAGTACCAATTCTAATTTCTTTTTGTTTTCCTGTTTTTTCCAATCTTTGTTTTTTAGAGTGAATGAAGTTTTATATATTCTAAAAGTTTACATCTTTAACTAACAAAACAATATTTTAGAAAGTGCTAAGATATGTTAGAAAAAAAGACCTTGTAGTAATAACTAAAGCACATTTCTTAAAGATAACTGAATATTGCAGGTAAAACATACTCCAGCTCACATTATTCTTATGATTTCTGAATCCTATGTTTCATACTTGGAACTGGCCTTAGACTCTGCATTAATTTTATGATCCTATAGCATCTTAAAAAGAAGTTAATTCTTTATGGCTGAAAGCATGCATTGATCCTCTGATATTCTCTTATCATTAAGGAAAGCGAACTTTAGAATATAATGAGTTCTTATTTGTAACTTTCAGTTAGTTATTTTCTCAAATAACAAGTCTTTGCCTAATAACCTTTGAAATTCAGTTCCTAGTGGTTTTCAACAGTAGTTTCTGAAAAACAAAAACAAAAACAAAAACAAAAAACAAAAAAAACTATAAGTCATACTATTAGTACACTTTAAAAAATTTAATTAAATTATGGAAGAAATTTATGGGGAGTTCCTTTTTATAAAATACGATATTAATATAATACCTCCTAAGAAAATAATCTAAATTAAAAATAATGCTATTTTAATTTTTGTTATTAATCGATGGCATTGGGTTAGGCATTTAATGTGTTCTTTTAATTTCCTTCCCTAATTATCTAATGGATATTTACAAAGTCACCTTCTAAAAACACGCTTTCCATTTCTACACATGTGTCAGGGAATTCAATACAATTGATGATGGAAAGGAAATAGGAAATCAGCCATAATATTTTTAAGAATCACAAAAATAAGACTCAATTGAAATTTCCATTATTTGGAGAAATTTGTGGAAAAATGCATAGAAAATTATGAGGGAGTTACTCAGAATGAGTCTGTAGTCCACTGTTGATGTGCCAGATTATGGATGATTAAGTACAGGATTTCTCCACTGAAGGACATTTTGCAGGGTATAATTATATAGGTGAGAAAGACTATATATGTGTGTGTGTGTGTGTGTGTATTCTTATGTCAAATTATGTCAATCAGTATAATTTGAACCCAAATCAGATATCTAATTTTTATATAAATAAATTGTATCAGTCAATATAATTTGAACCCAAATCTGCCAGCTAATTTTTCTTAGCAACAGATTTGTGACAGCTCTATACCAACACCCGAGTAGACAATGGTTTCCTAACAGTCCAGCACAGTCTGCCCTGGTGAAGGAAGCATTAACAGATGTTTCATCTCAACAGTACTGTAAGTTTTTTTCTGGACATTCGGGTTTTTTTTAACACACTTTAATTTCTGTTTAATAACCTGACATACATATTGATATCTGTATGTTTAATAACCTGACATACATACTTGGGAAAACTTTGTTACTTTTCTTTATTCACAGTTATCTCTTTCACATCCTCCCCCCAAAGCCTGCAGAGGGATACCAGACAAATTGAAGTAATACGCTGTTAGCTAAAGAGTTGTAAAATTACAGCTAATGGACAAATAACATTTTCTCAATCCTAGCTGGGTTTTTTTTTTTTTTCTTCTTTTTCTTTTGTAGCCCACCCCATGATCCAATACAGCGGAAACAATTCAGGGTTAGCAAGAGAGAGACTTAACCACATCTGGCAACAATGAACAATGAAAATTCTATTATTTCAATAGTTGGAGATATATGTGTAAATAAAGGTGAAAGGCAAATAGAAGACACATAATAAATTCAAAGTGATTACTTTTCTTTGAATTCTCCATTTTGTTCAACTACAGAGTGACTGAGATTCCAGGACCCCGTAAGTAGTTACTCTTTCCCCCCTGTCTCAGAGTACTAACTATATAAAAAGTTTAAAGACCCTTCCTGGGGGGGAAATGTTTTCCAGCTGTCAAAATTTAAGCTGAGCTAATAGTAGAGCAAATTTTAAAAGGCATTGTTCCCTGATTAAGTTACTTGTTTGGAGTATGCCTTTTAATCCATTTAAATTTTTATTACTTGCTAAATTTATCTTCTAGAATATCACTGTACATAATAATATCCAGTAGTAATAGATTTTGTATACATTTTGGAGTAATACACTGGAGTTTCTTTAACATATGAAATGAGAATATGTTTCAATATTATTTCAATATCACTAAATTCTACAGTAGAAACACTGCCAAACTAAAGGAGAATACTATTCAGAATACATAGATTTATTCTGAATAATGTACTTACCCAGCACAGCTTCTAAAGGAATTCTTGGTGAAATATTCTTAGGATGGAATTTGATTTTCTGAGATTTCTGCAGAAGAGATTTACCCCCGGGGCAAGGTGAGGAAGAGGGAAAGCCTTGTAATGTAATCCCGCCGGCAGGCTGAGGTCCAGTTAGCAGAGCTTGATGATCCTAAATCAGGAGGTGATACTCTCTGCTGGAGAGAGAGGGTTGTTCTGAGTAGATTGGAAGTGTTGTCACATTGTATGTGCTCAGCAGCAGAAGGGAAACATCAGAGCTTCCTGTTACATCACTCTGACCCCGCCTGCAGTTAGTGTTAGGTTACTTTCTTTCTCAAATAGCATACCCCAGGAAAGCAGCACTCCTTTCTTATTCTGAGACATGAGCAAGAAGCAGCCTGAACAGACAGAGATCATATGCTGTATGAATACATTGTTAGCAGCAGAGCTGGCTGGATTTCACCTTGACGGAGTTCTGTTAGAACTTGCCACATGGAGCTGCCTGTGATTTGAAGGAAATCTGAATATAATATCCTGCTCCAACAATTAAAGGAGTTAGGGGAGTGTGAGTGTGGTGTGTGCGTGTGTGTGTTGAATTATACTTTACAAAGCATTGAGGAACTATTATTTAACATGTCTTTCTTCATAAGTAAACACAAAAATAATATCTGCATCCATCATAATTAACTCTGTGATCCAACTCTTACTGAGTTCTAATAACCAGAGCCATTATCCGATCAGTTTTTCACAATTAAATGATGAAACTTTATCCTGTTTTTAACATTTTTAACTTTTTTTACTTTGTCCATGACATAACTATGTGTGTATATGTCATAAACAAAACCACTGTGTGTGTATGTGTTGTGTGTGTGTACATATACACAGGATTTTTTGTCATTATATATAGGAATATATATTAGGGAAAATGATCTTTTGACAACATATGTATAAGTTTAAAATAATTGCAAATATTTTAATATATTTAACTTATTATCTTATCACCTATGAAATAAAAAAGTAATTTATATTACGTTTATCGCTCAAAATAACCTTACCAAAAATGCAGATCACTTATAATGATTATGTAAAATATGTAACATACTCTAATTTTTTAGAAAAAGTTTTCCCTCAAAACATAATTTTATTCCAAATGTGTTTAATAAATCATTGGACATTATCTGGGAAGAATGCTTTAAATTTGAAATGCACGTGTTTTTAGATAATATGGTAAGTGTTTGAGGTACAACAATGATCATAATTGCTGAAGCCTAAACAGCACTGGGCATCAATTTCTTCCCCTGTAAACTAGAAGAGATGAATTAAATAATATATAAAATCGCTTATATCTCTAAGATTTTGAATCAACAAATTATGTAACATTTAGAAATAGGTAAGATACTGGGATAATTATTCAATTCTTAGTAAATCTGAGATCAGAGGCACTGGAAATATTAGTAAATTACTGCAAAATTCAGGAATAACAATTTTTGTTAACTAACAAAGGAAGACAAGGCAACATAAATTAAAAGGATACCATGCTCTGAAGCAGTACGCTCCTGTTGACATTTTTATTATCTGGATCCATGGAAGAAACTTATTACACATCTTTGATTTTAAGATCAATAGGATCAAGGTGAATAAAAATAAATAGACTTAAAAATAGGATATATACTAATCTCTGTCAGTAATAGTTAAAAGACTTGTAAGAAACTGAGTGTTACAACTTTGGTTATTGAGAGATAGAAATAACCAGAGGGGTTAAATTGCCAGGTTATAGAATATTGTATTTTCAGTTACAGTTTGGTTAGCTTTGCTTTGGGAGGCTGCTGAGACGTACTTCATTTTGAGCTATTTCCTTCAGCTCATTGGAGGAAAAGTCAATGTTGCAAACTATGTCTGGCTCCACAAACAGGGTTCTTTAGTCAGAATACTGCTGGAGATAATCCCAAGTGAAAGCTTGAATGAATTCTGCCACGAGGGAGGACACTGCTCAGGGAACTACTAAGAAAGAAGTAGAAAGCACTGGGGTTGGACCCAGAGACGTGAAATTCCAGTCCTGGTTCTGACACTCTCTAGTGTGACTTTTGACAAAACTTTTTAGGTCTTAGTGTTCCCATCTGAAAATCCAGAGTGGAATCAAGTACTAGATTTTAATATCTGAATGATCACTGTCCATGTCTTCCCATCTTCCATGTTTTATATAATATCTGACCCCTAGAAAGAGATTAATATAGCTTTTGAACTTAAGTTATGAAAAACTAAAACTTTTCCCAGTAAGTTCTCAAAAGCATTAATTTTTTTTCAAAGATTCTTTTATTTCATTTGCCCAATACTAGTAAATTCTGGTGAATAAAAAGTCTATGCTTGGAACTTACGTCTTAAGACTCTTACACCAATGCTCTTTCTCCTCTACTTTACATCAAGTGATATACTAAAGGCTAATAGAGATATCATATTCCTATTTAAATGATTGGTCAGGCATATGGTTATAGTCCATGAAGATTCTTGGATAATTCTTATGGGTATCATCGATAAGCCTTATTTAGAGGTAATAGGCAAACTGCATCCCGCTAGTCAGATCCTTAAGAGTTGCCATTTTATAAACTCCAGATGAAATAAATGGCATGAAGACTTCCAGGGAGCCCCTCTGGGTATGGAGGGACAAGACAAAAGATGGATGATGCAAATTTCTCAAGTACACACTGAAATATGATGACAAATATTTAAGAAAATGCAGTAGAACAAAATGAAAATATTTCAGTAATCAATGAGGTGATTCTTAGGCAATGTGGCATTAATCAATAAATTAATTCAGCATTATGTATTTCATATATATATAAAATAATCTTTTTCCATACAGATTGAAGACACTGGTGACCATTTAATAATTAGTGATCAAGCTTATTTTTTGAGCTATGTACTGTAATAGTTGTGTTGGGGAGTTACGGAAAAAAAGGATGTGTCCTGCTATATAGTTATTTGTTAATAATTAGTGATCAAGCTTATTTTTTGAGCTATGTACTGTAATAGTTGTGTTGGGGAGTTACGGAAAAAAAGGATGTGTCCTGCTGTATAGTTATTTGTAGCACAAATTGACTACACATGAGGATTCAAGCACCAGATTCTCTGCAGTTAGCAACTAATGCTACAGACAGAGTCTAGATGTAGCCACACAGAGCTGTCAATAGGTTTTTCTATAGAACTGAGGAATAATGTATAACTGAAAAATGACATATATAATGATAAATAGCTGTCCATGTTAGAGTCCTACACACAGGACTGTACCTGCATTTGTGGTCCCATGTAAGTCTCACAAGTGCCATAGTCCCACAATAATGAATACCAAGTGCCATGTGCAATGCGCTTTGACTCATACTCAGGAGGAAGCTAACTCAAAATCTCTGGATTACCATTTGTACTATTTTACTAAGTTAGTCAAATGGACGAAAAAATATGATTTGACAAATTTAGTTCTCTACAGGCTGCACTGATCACTTATTTTGAATTTGTGTAGCTACAGCCTTGGAGGATGGTTCTGCCACAAAAATAAACAAGACAAAACAAAACGAAACACTTTTACATAAAATATATTATGGACAGACTACCTCTGAGGAGAATGGGGAAAGATCTTTACAAATGATATCTATGATTATGTTGTGAATTAATATGTTTCAGGTATTATGTTGTACGTTAATAATTCCTCTGTGTTCTCAGTTGTCTGAGAGTCGTTACTTATACTCAGAGATAATTTATGCAGTCAACAAAACTAGGTATACGATGCTTTATTAAAAATGCACCAGTTATTTAAGGACAAACCCATAATTTTTATAATCTTTGCATCAAAAAATTCTATTAAGGTAATAAGTTGACCTGACCTTTTATTTTTTTACCTAGCAATTGCTTAGTATATTTAAAGTTATTTCATTATGAAATGAACTGTATTCAGTAAAAGGACCCAGATCCAATGGCTGGGCCATTAAGAGTGAAAATGCTGTTTTCTGTTATTAAAACCAAAGAGCTGATCTTTAAATCTACTTGTGCACGTAATTTATCATCTTGAAGGAAATTATAATGTTATTTTTAAAATATCTACTATACAAATTTGAAAAGAGCAGAAAACATTATATCCATATGTAGGTAAATAAAACTATTTTACTAATTTATAGCTTGTATCTCTTTTACTATTTTATAATGGGTTTCCCCAAGAGAGTCAAACAATATATCAAAAACAAGTGGCTAAAAATCTGCCTATTCTTTTCATTATTCTCACTCATTGTTCTTACTAAATTCTGATGAATTTGGATCTCCCAGGAAAATCAATGTTTTATAGATACTCATGATCGTTTGAGCCTCTCCTCCTCCAAAAAGAATAACCCTAGAAAGCTAGAATAAAGGGCTAACACTGGCAAGTGAGATACATCATGGACAAAATCAAAATGAATGCTTCAATACAACAAAATTATAAATGCTCACTTAAATGAAGGTACAAAATGAACTTTCTGAGAGTGAACATTGTCAATTAGGGTGATCATATGTCCCAGTTTGCTAGGGCAGTCCCAGTTTATATTTCCACACTCAAAAATGTCATGATTTGAATGGGAAAAAAATACATGATCACCCTAGCCATGCTTATACATATTGAACTGACAAGTGGTAACGTAAATATTGACAGTGAGTAATGTCTTTGGGAAACTTGAGTCTCTGTTTCCCAGAAGAGTTTAAAATAGGTCTTCCTATTTCTAGGATAGTTTTAGTTGGCATTGAAAAAGATGCCCTTTTCGTCTCTGGATATGTATTTATTGTGAATTTATGCTGAATTGCTTCTTATTTGCAGAATATCAATCTTGATTACAAGAATAAATGATTTATTTAACTTTGAGTTTATGCATGTTGACGTAAGTAACATATGATTAAAGTCCCATGTCTTAAGTTCTAAAGATGCCAAATAGCATGAATGTTTTCCCACCAAAGACTTTTTTGTTCAGCTATTGTCATATTGGTATAACTTGTAAAGTTATTAATAATTTATATATTTCTCTTTAATAATTTACTCATATTTAACATCACTCTATTATATACAGTGAAAGTTTTTAAACAAAAAGGAATGTGGAACTATATGTAGTGCATATATTAAAGAATAATACAATAAGAAAAGTAGCAGATCCTTTTTATAAGCTTAGCTTTGAGAAATTAGGTATCTACAGTCTCATCCTGCCATCTAGTGTTAAATATTCTCAAATTGCAA